AGATACTGTTCCGAAATATCACTTACCCGAACCGTCCTGACCGCGTAGCTCAGTTGGAAGAGCATTGGGCTAGTATTCCAAAGGTCGTAGGTTCGAATTCATGTAAGTTATTTGTAAATACTTAAGGAGGCTCTGCGGAGGAGAGAAGTTGTTGGATACATTTTATATTGATATGACAGTAATATGCTTCTCATAAAGTATATATCTATTATAAAACTGCGTTGTGTAGTTTAAGTTATAACCTTTTACCTTGAAATTGTATTTGGCTCGTTTTAATAGATTCAGATTCAGTATATCATGATCGTGCACGGGAATTTAACGATCCAAATTTCGGAATTTCAGAGTCTTGCACCAAGAAAAATGCATTAACTAAACTAGCAAGAATGTCCAGAGTTAGACACAAGGCAAAATCGATAGAAAACAGGTACAACTCGTCGAAAATTTTTACGAAATTGTTTGAAACATTTGTCCACTCCACGAAATTGTTTGAAACATTTTGCCCACTTGCTGACGTTGCTGTTTCCATGTCGAAATTCCTTGTAAAATTGTTCAATTTTCTCGAATTTGCCCCTATATATGGATAATTTGTGCTCTGGACGATTGGAGATTCCCGATCCAAGAATGCTGCCGAAACCTATACTCGCCTGGGCACAGGTGCCCCAGCGGGGTAAAATACACACCTTTTCCGGAAAATACACATGCTTTAGAGTGTTAGCTGTACCAGAAAAACAATTTTCCAGAAGCTTTTTCACTACGTATATCATTACACTCAGTAATTTTGCTTTGGTTACTGTGCCAATGGTTTCCATCTATATTAATTATCAAACGTTATCTTGTCGATTAGAGTGGCTGAAGCTCATGACGAGTTCTTTAGTTGTGTCACACTTGAGCTGGAAAACGTTCTCTTTTGACCAATCCGAAACTTGGTCAATTGCTAATTACATTTCGCTCTGATTACCTTTAAAACAGTTTCTGATAATGTTGAGTCATCAAAGTATTTCCAGGTAGTAAATTATCTGGGAGGGACAATTATCATAACTAGGAGTAACCAATTAAGGACCGTTTTGTCCGCTGAGGAACTCCGAGTGACTTTATATTAACCACGCCTCTAATAGACGCCCCAGTCAAATTAGCTTCTTGTAAAAATCCCCTCTCTATTAAACGACCCGTATTTAATAAACACCCATCACCCTCGTTATCTGAAATTAACATCCATATTAATAATTAAGTTTTTGCCAAGTTACAACTGGCTACTCTCTTTATCCAGTTCACCAGTGCTAACATTTGCCAAACTCACTAATGCCAAAGTTTGACCGGGGCGTTCATTAAATTAATGAGTCGTTTATATATTAATAAATTATATCAATAAACGCCTCGAAAGTTTAAGAGTTTGATTTTAGTTCACTCCATTTGATAACTACTATAACAATTATGTGAACATACTGTAAACTTGTTTTTTACACTGTGTGGCAATCACAGTTTTTTGGCATTCCTTAACAGTGTCTATATGACCAAGCCGACAAGATACTTTACGGAAAGCGTTATTAAAAGGATAAAAATACCGTTAACAAGAAATATGGCAGCACACATTTAAAACAAGTGTTTAATGTAAAAAGAAGATATTTAAATTTTGGTCGTCTAAAAATTTGATATTAGATACTTCTACTCTTTCACATATTTGACGCCTGTCATCATATATTTTGTCCCTCCAAACGATCTCAGAATGTACAGTGATCTCTTTTGGGAAAAGGTTAATTGAGATACCGCATTCATCCAAATGTTATCAAAGTTTATATATATACCTATTAATTTTTATGTATTCTTTCGACTTCAATTGGCAGAACTGTATACATTACTACTTTTTATCATTCGGTCCCAACCCCCATCAACTCAACCTCGTACGAAGAAGCCCTGGGTACGAGGTTACCATCAACTTCGAAATGTAATTGAACAGCAGGAATCAGAGAAATGAATATAACTGGAACGCTACCTCCAACAGGAAATTTAAAGCGAAACTTGAAGGCTAGTCCCAGTCTTTTCACGCATGCGAAGAGCACAGTCAATCCGTCAACATGAATATTTACTCTTGAAAACTGACTTAAAATTTACAAAAAAACAAGCCTTTTTATCAGCGCGCAAAGCTTTTTATCGTACATTTATTCATGTAAAACGTCCTAGTAGACTTTACTTTTAGCTTTTTTTGTCTTACTTTTTCCAATAATTGCGGCATGTTCGCTCCCTGAACGAGAGAATCGCGAGGCATAAACACGCGGGTCCTAACACCATGACCTTCAAGAAAAAGATAAGCAGTTTATCTGAGGGTAGCGTTCCAGTTATATTCATTTCAATGGTAGGAACGGCTATTTCATAAAGAGATCAGTACAGACCTGTCACCAACTTAAGACTTTTCATGTTTATTTGGCAAAAAAATTGTTGAAAGTCAAATTAAAAAGAAAACACACAAACAATGTAGCTTATGAATATGCAATAAACTTTATTGTGGTGATACATTTTGCAGTACAATATGATATAAACTGAAGTAATATTAAGCAAACTATAATTACATTCTACAAACGTTTCTTAGAAAACCAAACAACGCAACTTAAATCTGAACTAGCAAGATGATTACAAGTATCCACCAAACCACCAGTTGGTTGTAGAAAGGGGACCAGCACTGCAACGAAATTTTTTGTTGTAGGCTTCAGTATAATAACCAAAATTATTCTCGGTCGTAACAGAACCTTGAGTGGGAACAAACTGACAGCCATTGGAACGGCTATCAATGTGGGGGGCGTATCGACTGTTTTGTTGCCACCATCTTGAGGTACATTGTGCACATTGATGACCACGAATATTTACATACTCAACTTTCTTACAAATACCAGAACCCAGAAATGTCATAATGTCAAAGTCTGCGAACTTTGCTCTGACGTAATCAGTGTAGTCAACTTTGTAAGTTGAAAAGGTGCAGGTTGTTCTCCAGTGGGTTGACTGAGACTTGAGATGAGTCATTTGAGAGAGACCCATGCGGTAGAGGTTCCAGTTAGGCGAGTGCTCGTTCACAGGAGTGTCTTGTGGCATTGATTTCCTGGCGATCTGATCCATATGTCTGCTCTTCAAGGCGTAGGACATCACTAAAGTCCAGGCTGAACCAGCTTCTGAAGTCATATCACAGTAAACTGTAATACGGTCGTCGGTCTTGAAGTCATAAATGGTATAATAACCATCTGATTTGAAACCTCTTTTGAGATAGTCCAGACAACTTCGAGGAGTAATTTCCAGCTAGAGAGAATGTATTTTGAATGATTGTGTATGATAATGCTGAACCCATGTACTTTACTGTGTTTCCACACATGTACATATAAATAAAAATATGTTGTTTATAGGTTTAATATATATATATATATATATATATATATATATATATATATATATATATATATATATATATATATATATATATATATATATATATATATATACATATATATATATATATATATATGAAAGTCGTATGGTTGCATGGGAGTAACCTGGAGATAAAAATTTCGCGCAGACCAACTGAGTATTTTGTGCTAAATCTGCGCATAATCAGCCTAAACACTGTGTCCTAGTTGACCCGAAACACAGCTACGTGTTAGGGTTTCCATCAAATTTTGAAATTGCAAATTTTTAGTTTCACAGCTATAGACTATTATTTTCACCCCCCGATTGCTTAATGGGCAAGCCAACTTCAGTACAGATAGTAGTTGCCCTCGTTGTTTTTTGTGTATAACTAAATTATTTAAAACTGGACAAAAATTTTTAAAAAATGTACGGTGTAACTAACCTGTTTAGCCACTGTCTGAGATTCCACTTCCATTCCAAACAGGAACAGACTGATGAGAAAAACAATGTTTGAAATCATTTTCTTCTTGTCGTTATTTTCTTTCCAAAATGCTAAACTGACTGTTGTGTTGCTTGGTCTGAGATGCGAGAGGTAATGCAAGCACTGATAATGAGATACTGTATTAGTATTGTAAATGGCTACGTGGGCGCTTGAGAATGCAGAGGAAGTTCAACATTCTCAGCAGACTGCTGAAACCATGGAATGTGCGAGTCTCACATTTTGGTGGTAATTAATTCCAGTGCATGAGAACTTCCATGCATGGACAATATATGAATGTATATACAATAACGCTAACGTAATTATATATAAGTGAACGTTATCATTCGCCTATAGCCTGTGTCACAGGCCTAGTTTGTGATCAACAATGACAATGTAAATTATCGAGACGCCTTAGCATTCTCACGAGTTATCACCTTGAAGGAATGTAGCCACTGGGCGAAACTCTACTAGAAATTCTTTCAGTTTGTTTGTGACAGTCTGTTTTATCTTATAGCATCCATGTTTATCCCAAATGACACCTACACGTAATACTCCACTATTCATGT